GCTCTGTGCAAACATGACGCTGTTTGTTGATGCAGACTGAAACGTGTGTGTTTTGTCTCTACAGTGTGTGTGAGCGCTGTCTGAAGGACCTCTCAGTCAGGTAACGCTTCATGGAAACACCCAGAGCCCATAGACGTCACAGTTAGATTCCAGCAGGAACATATAGAAGACTTTCAAAGAGACACAAAACAAAGATTATTTCCAACTCTTACACATGAAAAAATAAAACGTAAAACCTGCCTTCACTTCATTTTTTGTTTTTTAGGTTTCTTCTTTTTTAAATGCAAAAATCTCATAGCTTCTAATCCATAAGGACAATTCATTATGTCATTATTTTTCAATGGGAGAAAAGCTAAAAGTCTGACTTTTTTTTTTATAAGCAGTGGCATTAAAACAAAGCTGCACATCACTGCATGTAGACAAGTTAACAATAGTGTAGTTGTTTCTATGATGGAGCACGTGTAGGTTTTTATTTTTGTCAAGTATTGTGAAGAAAAGTCTGTACAAATAATGTATATTCTTATAATACTTCTTATTTGGCACCTTGATGTATTTTCGTGTCAGTCTAGGATTCATAGCAGCATTTCTTCGAGGTCACATGATTTCATTACAGTCACCATGTGTCAGCGTATTAAAGGTAATGAATGATGCTAACTAGGATGTGATTTCTGTGTTTGTGTGCAGCGGGCAGCCACAGTGTGGATACTCCGTCTACAAGCGTCTGGGGACAGAGCTGGTGTTGGGCCTGTTTCTGAACGTACGAGCCGAAGAGCAGCCGGAGCTGTTCGAGGAGATCTCACAGCTGTGCATCACGCACTGGCATGGTAGGGCCACACCGACACACCAGGCGTCATTAACGAAGAAACACAGTCCAGTAGTGATGTGAGAGAGATGGTGTAGAGATAGTTCATGAAGGTTTTACTGAACAACGCCTCTGTTGTGATGAGACACGCCAGGACGAGTCAGACTCAAGTAATTATGTGCAACACGGTATTGCCACATCTGCTGCTTCCTCTTTCATTTCAGTTCAAAACGCCTCCATGTCTCTGTGGTGTTTGACCCTCTGTGTGTGTTTAACTGGATGCCTGCAGGTCTGATCTCTGCTCCGATCAGTGTGAAGGCTCCTCTGTGGTCCTCGGGGTTCTCCACCGCCCTGGACGCCAGAGACAAGCTCATGGACATCATCAGAGACAAGCTGCAGAATGACAAGCAGGGGTGAGGCTGTACAAGTGTCAAACCGCAGACTCACACAGCTGGCAGCTCACAGACACAGTGATCCTCCCTTTTTACATGAGGACTGAGCTCCTGCCTTCTTTTGCAGCTCTTAAACTGCATTGAGCAAGTCAGAAGTTCTGTTGCTCTTCAGGGGAGATTTAGTGCCATTCTTATGCATAATGACGCTTTCTCCATTTTGGTCATAAATCCAGAGGCCAGTAGTGATCAGTCACCAGTGATTTGTTGCACATAACATCATCTCCCCTCTGCCTCTAGTTTTGTCGGCAGTCTCGGTTCTTTGCCGCTGCCCGACTCCGGTTCTGCTGCCCAGCACCTCCTGCTCTTCATCTCAGCGCTCATCCCCAAAGCTCTGGCGTCGCTGCTCACCTCCTTCACCCTGGCACTCAGCGGAAAGGAACAGGTACCCGAGCTCTTTGGCAAGAAAGTGGATAAGAGAAAGAAAAAAAGACAAGATCAGGAGCAGTAAAGTGTAGAACATGGTGGTGTGTGCGTGGACTTTGTTGCTCCTCTGATTCTAAGAAGAACCTGAGATGATGCCGTGAGTGTTGAACTTCTGCTTTACTGCAACACTCTGAACTCTAAGCAGCTCCGAGGTGGCTTATTTTTGCTTCTTTCATATTTTCTTTCACTGTTGTTCACTTCATTTTTAACTGCAGTATAAAGTCGAGCAGCTCTACAGAAACTAAACAACTACGTCTGTAATCTAAGAGAATCCAGAGTGTGTTTGGTACAGTATATGAACGTTATAATGCCATAAATCCATAAAAAAAGAAAGAAATGAAGCTTAATTTCTTTCATTATTTGATTGAAACAATACTGGCATCAACGTGAACAACATTTCTCCGAGTCCACAGGTGTAAACTATTGTGTCTCTCTGTACTGTAGATATTTTACTATTTGCATTTTTCATGCTACTGTGCACGTCAGCTCTAGAAACGTTTCACCGTGTTGAATGTGTCGTCACACAACCTGCTGACATCTCGCTGCACGTTGACCAATGCAGCTGTTTTCCTCCAAATCTCTGTAATGTGCTGCTTTTACTGGTCTCCTCTCTGTTCTGAGGAAACACAGCCTGCAGCTCAGCCGAGAAGACAAAAGGATTCATATCATGTGACCGTCGCCGCAGCTGACTCAGTCGTAGTTGTGTCAAGGAGCAGTTTTTAGTATTTTACAGGATCTTGATCGTGACATTAGATTTGGATAATTGTTCTGATAGAACCTCACATGATGCATTCAAGGACCGTTGGACAATTGAAAACCACATAAATCTTTCTGTTTTTATGGTTTCCCGTCTAATAAGTTGCATCATTTTGGCAGCTTTTTTTTAAAGATAGCGTGCCTTTGGACCCAGCGGTGGGTTTTGAGGTTCAGAGGGTTAATATCCTGATAACATGGAAAGTTATAACACTACATGTAAAATGTCATAACTACAGTTATGATCCACATTTTTTTCTCACCTGGATCTTAATATTTCACGTTCAGGAGGAGGCCCGTCGTCGAGCCAGAGAAGACCCTGATTTCCTGCACCGAGTGCTGCTGGAGGTGCAGAGACTTTGGCCCCCTTTCATCGGAGGACGTAGATTAGCCGAGCAGGTAGGACGAGCTGCCTCCCTCCTCTAACGCCATCATAACATAAACGAATAACTGAGACGTGAAGGGGAGTCAAGTTGTGCATCCCTCTGTCACTGACAAACCTGACACCAGTTTAATCTGCAAAAGCGACTGAATGTGGTTGTTGTTGTACCTTGTATGTATTTACAGTTATGTGGTGTTAAAGTGCCTCGCTGCAGGACTTCATTAGTTCCTTTGTGTTGCTCTCATGTCCTCTAGATGGCGACAGATTCCTCCAAATGAAAGTCTGATTGAACTGCTGCACACTCACAGGGACTGGACAAAATAACAGAAACACCTTACATACTAGATGATAGTATCGCTGCAGTAAAGTTGAAGTCATTTGTCGTCTTGCAGCGTTAACGAAGAATTTTGCAGCTGCATGAGCGAGTCCTACTTTAATCATCAGCTTTGATTAAAGTGTGACGATGAGCGTTTGACAGACAGCTGCTATTTAACTCTCAGTTTTCTGTTTGTGCTGTGTTAGAAGGTGGTGTTACTGGTCCAGTTAAATCTACTCCGTAAGCATCTCGTATCTACTCTGTTTATGCCACAATATGGATTTTCATTCATTAAAACGAGTCCGACGTGACATCAGCACCGTCGGCCAATAGGAGCCCACGTTTACTCAAGAGTCCCGTCTCCGGATTGGCCCGCTCTCGCTCTGGCCCCGCCTCGCTCGCTATCTTTGATCGCTGTGACCTCATCAAACGAGCTTATGCAACAGCCCAATCAGAGGCATTGATCCCTCCGGTTGTGATTGATTGGCTCCGTTTCCCCCCCAACACACACACACACACACACACGCTCCCCGGAAGGAAGGAAGGAAGTGAGAGGAGGTCAGCGTTGTTGGTGACGCTGCTGTGAAAAGCAGAGAGTGGAAAGTTTTGTCACTTTTATGAAACGCGACGGTGAGATCTGGTCATTGGCGGACTTGGTGGAGACGCGTGATGAGGGATTCTGCGGAATTAGGGAGCGTTTCGTTGAACTTTAAAGTCCACAAAGGCCGTAAAATATGCACGAGAGGGACGGATTTGCTGTTAACAAGGGAGCACAGCTCACTGGAACATCCACAGTAACTCAACAAGACACGCTGCACCATAAAAAGTCCTGAAGTTTAGCAGTAACTCGTTGTTAATCAGTGACACGGTCGCCGCCGTCGTCGCCACGAACAAGCAGAAAACCAGACGACAGAGAGCTGATGAGATGCAGGAAAGTAAAAGGAGGGAGATTAGTATTCACAATCAGGTGGAAAAAGTGGAATCTCCATCAGGTGGAACTAAGATATGCAGGAGTTTCAGAGGGAGGGAGGGAGACGGAGTGAAGTCAGCGAGGGCATCTCTCAGCCAGACAAAGACAGAGATTTGTAAAAAGATTTTCCACTCCGCCGGCGAGAGAGAGAAAAAATGACAGAGGGGAAGAAGAACCAGCGATCATGTTCTCCGGCGGTCCATTAGTGCAGCTACTAATGGACGCGGTGAAAAGGTGAATTAAAAGGGCAACAATTGGGCTAGTGGGCTCTCTTTTTGCCCCCAAGGAGGCTCTTTTCACCGGCGGAAAAAAAAAAACAGGTTCAGGGGAATTTTTGTTCAACATGGAGGGTTTTCATTCAGGGTCTAAAGTGTGTCCCATTCATTCTAGTTCAAAGGGGTTTCACAAGCATGGTCCTGCACTCGTGCTGTTCCAGAGCTTCTCTCGGTCCTGCCGGCCGGGCGACTATTCACAGATCAGCTTTCAGATCCTGGACCTCCGGACGGACAGTTTTTGAAAACACACAGGTGTTGCTCAACGTGTTATTCAGCCGGGGAATGAATTGCATCGGTTACGAAACTCTTATTGCTTCCACAGAAAGTTTCAACACACAGATTTCGGTTTTAACCTAATTATTGTGCAACAGTGGTCACTCACACTGATGCTTTAGGACCCTGAAGAACAGACTAGTCTATTAATCATTAAAGTTATGTTTAGAGTTTATGGTGCAGCCGTTTAAACGCATTAAAGAATGAGGAGTTACTGAGAAAACTGATGGAAATCATGACAACAATTCTACTCAGGCACCACTTTTCTTTTCCTTAACCCAGTAAAGTGTCACAGAAGAAGAAATCTGATGTCGTCTGTGTAACGAGCTGTCTCTGTGTGTCGCTGCAGGACTCCACCCTCGCCGGGTTTCTGGTCCCTAAAGACTACGGCGTGGTCTACATCAGCCACTGCGTGCACCGCGACCCTGAAGTGTTCCAGCAGCCCGACAGCTTCCTGCCGGAGAGGTGGAGCGGGAGGTGAGGGTTTTCCACATGTCTTTCTGTTTGTCAGGCAAAGATGAGAAGCAAAACATATGAAGAGCCTGAAAAAGTTGGAGATGCATCGAACATAAACACAGTTTAGTCGTCTGTCGGTTAAGAAGCAGCAGGTCACAAGTCGCTGCTAATATGAACTTACTGCTGAGTTTGCACCAATATCTGTCCACACACTGACCTTCTGATGGTTCAAAACTGAGGAAGCCATCGCAGCATCACCTTTGTTGCACCGTCCACCATTTGATTAACTCTCCTCTGCTGCCCGGCGGCTACGAATCACACCAGCTTAGAGACCCAAAGAGGCTCCGTTCATTTACTAAGTCACAACAACTCAGAAACTTTGCCGGAAACTCAACTCATCACCGGTAACTTCAGGCTTTACTTTGAGTTCTTTAGAAAGAGCAATTTCCTTTGTTGCAGTTTTAAACAGGTAATCAACAATCAGAGAGAGAGAGAGAGAGAGAGAGAGAACGGTTTATGTGCCCACAGGAGCAGAAAATAAACCAGAATGAAATTCAAGAAGCAAATGATGAGTAAGTGGCTGAACTTTTTCTCAAAACGAGAAGAAGTTTTGCTGTCTTGACCCAAACCAGAACCCACAGGACAGACAGACGACCACACAGCTGAAGATAACGAACTGACAAATTAGCTCCATTAAAAATATGCAGTCAATAATCGACCCTTCACAATCCTAAACCTGCTATCTGACAGGTTTTTAGGAGAAACAAAAGGAACCCATCAAAACAGCCTTAACATAGCGACAGCCTTGGATTGTGACTCCGACATGACATTTAATGTCACCAATCAGGATGACGGCGTATTATCTGACTGAACAATCCCACAGATTGGCTACGTTCACACTGCAGGACTTGATGCTCAATGAGGATTTCTTTGTGACTTCCTTCACGTTTCCACTTCAATGCGACTTGTATGTGATCTGCTGTGTGAACTTCATACGAGCCAAAAGTGTCCCGCATGCGCAGAAGAGGACACGACGACGTCACACGCAGCGAGCGTGCTCAGTGTTTATGGAAGTAAACATGGATGGTAACGGTGGAGCGTATCTGCCACTCCCCCGCCGCCACCGATGGAGGAAACAGAAGTGTGAGCGCTAACTAAACTAGCATCAGCAGCCAAGTACTGCCTGTGTGTTCTGGACACTTCCACCCCGTCAGAGCGCTGCCCCGGGGTGGAAGTGTCCCCCGAATATTCTGATATTCATCATTAATTGAGACCAGAAAGTTCTATTGGGACCAGCCCTACTAGTTATTATAACAACTATGAACAATAATGAACAACTAATGAGCCTTCCAGCATCAAGCCCTCCTTGTATCTGGACCTCCGTCTGGACAATCTGACAGCCTTGATATCCGACATAGAAGAAGGTTTTACATTTAGTGACTATCCAGTCACGACTGTACTAACATTGAATCCTACATTCAGTATCTTTCTTTATTTCATGGTCATGCAGGTTCTGTAAACTGACCTACTGACATTTACACGACCACGCTGTAAGTAGGTGATGCTTCAAGGTTGTTCTGAGCAAGAGAGCAAGAAAACACATGCAGCTCTGTTCACACGTCCTACCTGCCGCTCCGCTGTGGTGCCGCACACCGACACACACTGACACACACCGACACACACCGTCACACATCGACACATCGACACACCGACACACACCGACACACTGACCATTAGGAGGAGGAGGAGGGAGGAAGCTCTCAGCGCCGCGGCACATTAGGGGTCGAGGAAATGCGTCACGAGAAACCATTTTCATAAAACCCGAAAAGAAATGAGCAGAAAAATACGGCGTTTTCTTCCACGTCCATTATGGTGTTTTATGGTATTTTTTTTAAAGATTACTTTTGGAAATAAAGGGAAATAAGCCCAGGAGGAAATAAAACAGAGAGGATGGTCATAAAGGAATGAGATTTGAATTCTGCTGAACATGGACTGAGGGCAGAGAAGAGATGTGGTGGTGTGGAAACGAGTTTTAACATCTTTCAGTGATCTGTTTTATATGTTTAGGTCCTAAATTGTGCAACAACGTGAGTGTAAGAAATATATGAGAAATACACCGAGGCTTGTTTTGTTCATGTTTTTAATCCTCTGAACCCCCAAAACCCAACGGTGGTTTTGAAAGCCTCATTACTGTCAAATAATTTCCTTAATTCAACCGTTTATCAGAGAAAGAAGCTGTAAAAACAGAAAGATTTGTGACTTTCTGACAGTCCCTGACCAACTCATCTGTTATGTTTATTTATCCAGATCTAAACTTCAACTTCATCAAAATCAATTTATTCTACACATCTCATTAAAGATTCACTAAAAATTAGGGATTTGCACGAATCAGATTTTGTAAAAAAAAAAAAAAAAAGAAAAAGAAACACAGCACCACAGAGCAGACATGAGACGCAAGCAAGTTTAAAAATAAGCCGTAAAATATCTAAAGTATGTTGAGTCATCATCTTTTCCAGCATCAGTAGCACCTGTAGGAACCTAAAAAACAGTTTAGTCCAGTTTTCTTTCATTCTTGTATAAAAAATGAACAAGAAATGCAGTTTTCACCAAGGGAAAATCCAACAAAACCTCACGAGTCAGTGATTCAGCCGGACGGATCTATGGAGGGGTTTCAGCAAAGCAAATAAAGAAATGAGTCATTAGATATGTAAATGAACAGCGTTGTCTAAAATAAGACTAAATATAACCAGAAAACGTAGATAATGTTCATGCATAATTGCACAGTGAGCTACAAAAACTATGAACAGCCAAAGAGGCTCTGAAGCTGCTTGAGGAGGATAAACCAGAGCACCGTGGATCAAGTTCTATCAGAAATCTGTTCTTCTAAATCCAACATATTTAAAGTGTAAAACCACTCGGTGCAATCTGCTCTGTGTGTGACTGACATGACCGTGAGTTTTACTGACTAGATGATGGTTCAAACACAGTCAGACTGGCTTCATCATATAACCACAGACGCCCACTCCTTTACTATAGCAACCGATGCAGACGGACCAGCGACGCCTGAACGCACCGAACTGGCCGCATCGATTCTGCACGTTCGGCTCAGAAAGACGGCCGTAAACGTTAGACCGGAGGAGGAACACGTCTGCCGGGAAGCACAAAGGCGGCCTGTGTGCTACCTGCTCTGCCAAAACTGCAACCTGATCTTCCTCCTGCAGTCTCTCAGTCGAGCGCTTTCTGTTCATTCACTTCCTTCATTCACCTGTTTCTTCTCATTCATGCCCATTCAGTCAGTCAGGCGGCAGCAGGAGGGGGAGCACGGTCTATGAATGTATGTATGTCGGCAGCCGCTGCCATGGCAACCGGTCACCTGTCACTGTCTTTACCAATAGGGATTCCCTCTGTGTGTGTAGTGTGTGTGTGTTAGTGTAGTGTGTGTGTGTGTGTGTGTGTGTGTGTGTGTGTGTGTGTGTGCAGGGTTTGGGGGGAAGCTGTTTTCTCTCCCATGACGCCCTTTGGAGTGGGATGAGAAACAGAAAAATGAGTCACAGACGATCCTATTCTAATTTTTTTTTCTCTTTTTTTTGTTGTTGTTGTTGTTTGTGGGTGATTTCTCTAAAATTAAATCTCTTTTATGGGATGTGACGGTTCTAATGAGTGAAGATAAAAGGATCACGCACGCAGACTTTCTTTTGTCTTTTTTTTTTTGGTGATTGATGATCATCAGCAGGAGTTTCCGATTGTTGCGTACTACTTGGTGACAAAGTCATTTCTCAAATCTGAGGAATTATTCGTTTCCAGAGACAAACTCTTTGTTGTATTTTGACGGACTGTGAGAATGTAGTCGTGCGTACCAGTTTTTAATTTCATTTCTTTTATAGAGCAGGGACGTCTAAGAGTAAAGACGTAGCGGTGAATCACGTATAAGGAGAAGACGTCCAGCTTCATTCTTCTAGTTTAATAGAAGTAACACATTTCTCTACCTATAAGCCAAATAACTGCCCAACCAGCAGCTTTCTGATGATTTTCTCCACGTTAACTCGATGCCGTTTTAGATGCACCAACGTGTGTGAAAAGGCAACTCAGCTGAGAAAAGAAATCTATGAATGAAAAGACAGGTAGCTGCTGCTGCCATGGTAACTGGCCACCTCACACCTCTTTTTACCAATGGGGATTCCCTGCTTCGCGTGTGTGTGTGTGTTTAATGTGTGTGTGTGTGTGTGTGTGTGTGCTTCATGCATGATGAGTTAAGGAATGAGTCAGAGGAGATTTTCCTTCAGATAGTGTGATGCGAGCGCATTCGTTAGAATTATACAAAAAAATAAAGATGATAATTGGATGAGGTGTGTAGATGCAGGAACGTTGGAGATCCACGTTTAAAGCTCATGAGGAGTCTTGAGTAAGAAGATGGTGTCAGTGAGTTCCTTTAAAGCCCAAGAACTGATCTTCCACCCAGATCTGATGTAGGTTTGGGTTGGTCTCCATCGCTGCTGGAAACGCTTAAAAATGAGCCACGCTTTGCACCAAATGACGCGTTCTTTCACTACCGCCACATACAGGTTCCTGCTCCTGTAAAGTCCAGCTAAAGGTGCTTTTTTGGGGACTCGAGAGGTGATTGTTTGAGATTTTGCCCGCTTGATTCTAATGGATCTTAGCAACCGGTGCCGTCTCCCTCCGGGTGAACGAATCCGTCCGTCAATACATATCTTCCTGTCTGCGTGTTTGCTATGCGTTCTCCCCTTTATCGGCCGATCTGTTCCTCCTTCCTCCTACCTGCCTCTCCATCTGTCAGTCTTCCTGCCTTCCTGTCTGCCTCGATAGTTGCCTGGCTCCTTTTTCTTGCCACCTGGCTGTTTCGTTTAATGACTGCAGTCCTGTTACATAACAAGCCCACCTACAATCACCACAGTTTCATCTGTTTGTGTGCCTTTTTCTTTTTTTTTCTGTGTGCGGTAGTTGGGCGTGTATTGTCCGCTGTGTTTGTGCATGTTGTCGCTCTGTGTGTGTGTGTGTGTGTGTGTGTGTTTGTGTGTGTGTGTGTGTGTTCGTGTGTGTGTTTGCGCTTTTCCAGATGGAAGCAAATCATGTAGCTGGCAAGTTAACATCCTATCAGCCGAACGCCCACACAGACTCCAAGCCCAGATAAATGAATCGGAAATGCTACCGAGCACAGATAAAGATCTTAGCTACTGCGGCGGATTGTGTGACTAGTTTCACATAAGTCTGAGAACGGGGAGTTTCCTTCTTGTCCGCAGAAACACTGACATACATCTGTTTTTATTTGAAGTGGAAATTTGTTGAGCTTTTCCACGGCTGCATAAATCATGTGAATTCTTAGAAAACGTATAGGACTGCGTTGAGTCTCTAAAAACAACGTGAGGTTTGATAGTCGTGATCTGTGTGGTGATGATGATGCATTCGCTTTAATTCGTTTAAACAGTTTCCATTATTGGAAGCACATGTTGGACGGAGTCACAGTTTTTCGTGATGGAACAGTTTTAATCAGCTCAGATTCAATCCCCAAGAGGCCTTATAGGAGGACAAAACATTTATGGATTCCTGGAGATGTTTGTTGTCATTTTATTGTTCAATGAAAACAAATATTTTGCGTGTGTGCTCTCCAGCACATTGATATAAATATATTTATAAAACTGTCCAGCCATTGAAATCACAGGGCATTCTTATACCCAAACTACAATACTGTACGCCAGAATAACATTTAGTTTGTTCCAACACATAGTATGTCAAATACAGTGAGCCAAAGACGCCTGGATATCCTACTGCATCCATGTAAATGTGTTTTGCAGCATGTGAGTCAACATGTTTTCTGACCCAGATTATGTGGCACATGCATCGAGGTGTAACAAACTTGAGCTGCAGATAACAACAGACAG